ATCTAGATAAGTAGGAGTTTGTTCAATTCCGAGAGCAATTATATTTATAGCATATAGCGAAATTTATAACTTTAATCCGCATGTGTCAGCCAGTGCCCAGTACAGGAGACAAGAAGTCTGGCTACTTTACGGCCGTTCCTCTGGGACCATTAGTAGAAGTAGCTTCTATCAGAACAGTGCCGTGGGAACAGAATTCCCGCCAAAATACCTGGTCTCGGGTCTACCAAACAGTAATACTGTTCGGAGTGTACGGTGTGCAGTGTGTTTTGAATTAGACTTACGGCTTACCTAGTTGTTATCCTAATTGCATTATCATCGGTACATAACATAAATAAACTACTGGTAAGTTTAAATACCAAGTGCAAACGTGTTCAGTCAATCGACCCACTGAACAATTATAGAATTTCCAAGACCCTATTATTCTCTAGCCATATATTACGGCACGATCGATTGTTAGATGGCTAAACGACCAACGTTATAATCTATACAATTCTAAAACTATGAGCTAGCACTTTAATCTAAAAATACACTTTTTATATTACTCCTGATTTTTACATTTCACGTAAAACATTGTCGCCACAGGTTGATCATGGACACTAACAGCTTAATTTGAGATAAATGACTTATGACTTTCTCTAAAGTTAACTCTTAAGTTGTGTACTCCAGTCATTTATGGACATTTATGGAAATGAACCTGCAAATGTTCAAATACTCTCGAAACTTTGCACAGACCTTCCTTAAGGTATGAATAAACGATTTTCGTTTGGAGACATTTTTTTGACCGTGGAGAAAACCCAGGAGGGCCACGCCCATATTGACCCAATAACGTAACCGACCCCTTGCTTCTGAAGGTCGTAGAGGCTTCAAAATAGGCTTAAACGAAGCCGCATATGCATATTTATATAGGATTTATTGAGCAACACATGGCCTAAAATCCTTACTTTTCGAGAAATTCGCCAAAAACCATTTTGGGCGTGGTGCTGAGCCCATTTTCGATAGGATCGTGATAGAGTCTTTAGACAGGGTGCAAAAGAACCGCAATTAGCATATTAATATATGACTTACGAACAAACATATGCCTTAAAGTGCTTACTTTTTCAGTTATTGGCGAAAAACTGATTTTCGGTTCCAGAAATCATACAAAACTATGGGTATCTGGTAACTTGGGCTATGAAGGCCCTAAAGGTTTTTGAATGTGTGCAAATTGTGCAGAATGGCCATGTTTATATACAACTTATGAAGCAACATGTACCCTAAATTACTTACTTTTCGAGTTATTTGGGGGAAAAGATTGTATTATGTCCATTTTCTACCTGTAAAATACAGTCTCACGAGCTCTTCTGCGCGCGGGAGGGACTTTATGACGTCATCGCCAAAATAATACAAACGCTATTTACACGCGTTAGAGAGCAGTTAGAGATTTAGGAATTTCGACTCGTTGCTTAGTTTGCTATTTGTCACAATGTGTCAAAATATGAGGATAACTTTTTTTTCAGTTAACTGGTCCTTTAAATAATCACCATAAATTAACCACACGTAAAGTTACAGGCCAACAAATGATATATCCACCAAACCCCTCTGAAAAGTATATCCACCATTATTAGCCCTGATTTAAATGCGTGTATCTCTGCTCATAGATATAGTAGACATTTGATTCTTTTTGTAAAAGTTGAACTATCGCAAATCCTATGCTGAAAAAAAGTTTAATCAAAATATTGAGTTTATCCACCAAATGAGAGCTTCTAGAAGTTGAAATTTTTCCCGTGACAGATTCGTTAACATAGTTTTTGAAAGTGCCCTTTAAAGTCTGGATTTTAGCTGGATTTCGGTCATTTTGGGATGGGCGTGGCCCCTGGGAGTGGCCCGAGTGGGTTGAGAGGTCGAAACTTGATTTTTATGATGGTTTGGGACAGGCAGAACCCATTTTTAAACTAAAACATGTCCCACCTACCCCGGAACATAAAAGCACTACAGGGGTAAAGATTTTAAAGTCTGGATTTTAGCTGGATTTCGGTCATTTTGGGATGGGCGTGGCCCCTGGGAGTGGCCCGAGTGGGTTGAGAGGTCGAAACTTGATTTTTATGATGGTTTGGGACAGGCAGAACCCATTTTTAAACTAAAACATGTCCCACCTACCCCGGAACATAAAAGCACTACAGGGGTAAAGATTTTAAAGTCTGGATTTTAGCTGGATTTCGGTCATTTTGGGATGGGCGTGGCCCCTGGGAGTGGCCTGAGTGGGTTGAGAGGTCGAAACTTGATTTTTATGATGGTTTGGGACAGGCAGAACCCATTTTTAAACTAAAACATGTCCCACCTACCCCGGAACATAAAAGCACTACAGGGGTAAAGATTTTAAAGTCTGGATTTTAGCTGGATTTCGGTCATTTTGGGATGGGCGTGGCCCCTGGGAGTGGCCCGAGTGGGTTGAGAGGTCGAAACTTGATTTTTATGATGGTTTGGGACAGGCAGAACCCATTTTTAAACTAAAACATGTCCCACCTACCCCGGAACATAAAAGCACTACAGGGGTAAAGATTTTAAAGTCTGGATTTTAGCTGGATTTCGGTCATTTTGGGATGGGCGTGGCCCCTGGGAGTGGCCCGAGTGGGTTGAGAGGTCGAAACTTGATTTTTATGATGGTTTGGGACAGGCAGAACCCATTTTTAAACTAAAACATGTCCCACCTACCCCGGAACATAAAAGCACTACAGGGGTAAAGATTTTAAAGTCTGGATTTTAGCTGGATTTCGGTCATTTTGGGATGGGCGTGGCCCCTGGGAGTGGCCCGAGTGGGTTGAGAGGTCGAAACTTGATTTTTATGATGGTTTGGGACAGGCAGAACCCATTTTTAAACTAAAACATGTCCCACCTACCCCGGAACATAAAAGCACTACAGGGGTAAAGATTTTAAAGTCTGGATTTTAGCTGGATTTCGGTCATTTTGGGATGGGCGTGGCCCCTGGGAGTGGCCCGAGTGGGTTGAGAGGTCGAAACTTGATTTTTATGATGGTTTGGGACAGGCAGAACCCATTTTTAAACTAAAACATGTCCCACCTACCCCGGAACATAAAAGCACTACAGGGGTAAAGATTTTAAAGTCTGGATTTTAGCTGGATTTCGGTCATTTTGGGATGGGCGTGGCCCCTGGGAGTGGCCCGAGTGGGTTGAGAGGTCGTAACTTGATTTTTATGATGGTTTGGGACAGGCAGAACCCATTTTTAAACTAAAACATGTCCCACCTACCCCGGAACATAAAAGCACTACAGGGGTAAAGATTTTAAAGTCTGGATTTTAGCTGGATTTCGGTCATTTTGGGATGGGCGTGGCCCCTGGGAGTGGCCCGAGTGGGTTGAGAGGTCGAAACTTGATTTTTATGATGGTTTGGGACAGGCAGAACCCATTTTTAAACTAAAACATGTCCCACCTACCCCGGAACATAAAAGCACTACAGGGGTAAAGATTTTAAAGTCTGGATTTTAGCTGGATTTCGGTCATTTTGGGATGGGCGTGGCCCCTGGGAGTGGCCCGAGTGGGTTGAGAGGTCGAAACTTGATTTTTATGGTGGTTTGGGACAGGCAGAACCCATTTTTAAACTAAAACATGTCCCACCTACCCCGGAACATAAAAGCACTACAGGGGTAAAGATTTTAAAGTCTGGATTTTAGCTGGATTTCGGTCATTTTGGGATGGGCGTGGCCCCTGGGAGTGGCCCGAGTGGGTTGAGAGGTCGAAACTTGATTTTTATGATGGTTTGGGACAGGCAGAACCCATTTTTAAACTAAAACATGTCCCACCTACCCCGGAACGTAAAAGCACTACAGGGGTAAAGATTTTAAAGTCTGGATTTTAGCTGGATTTCGGTCATTTTGGGATGGGCGTGGCCCCTGGGAGTGGCCCGAGTGGGTTGAGAGGTCGAAACTTGATTTTTATGATGGTTTGGGACAGGCAGAACCCATTTTTAAACTAAAACATGTCCCACCTACCCCGGAACATTAAAGCACTACAGGGGTAAAGATTTTAAAGTCTGGATTTTAGCTGGATTTCGGTCATTTTGGGATGGGCGTGGCCCCTGGGAGTGGCCCGAGTGGGTTGAGAGGTCGAAACTTGATTTTTATGATGGTTTGGGACAGGCAGAACCCATTTTTAAACTAAAACATGTCCCACCTACCCCGGAACATAAAAGCACTACAGGGGTAAAGATTTTAAAGTCTGGATTTTAGCTGGATTTCGGTCATTTTGGGATGGGCGTGGCCCCTGGGAGTGGCCCGAGTGGGTTGAGAGGTCGAAACTTGATTTTTATGATGGTTTGGGACAGGCAGAACCCATTTTAAAACTAAAACATGTCCCACCTACCCCGGAACATAAAAGCACTACAGGGGTAAAGATTTTAAAGTCTGGATTTTAGCTGGATTTCGGTCATTTTGGGATGGGCGTGGCCCCTGGGAGTGGCCCGAGTGGGTTGAGAGGTCGAAACTTGATTTTTATGATGGTTTGGGACAGGCAGAACCCATTTTTAAACTAAAACATGTCCCACCTACCCCGGAACATAAAAGCACTACAGGGGTGAAAAGCACTACAAATCCACTACAAAAATCAAGGAAACGTGCTCTCATCTAATTAGAATCTCAGAAATCGACGTTCTGCTTAATGAACACTCTTGCAGGTACCACCCGTATTCACACTCAGACCTGAGTTTAGTCCTTTCCCGATACGAGATTGGGGACGGGTTCTATAAACAAACAAACAAACAAACAATCGACGTTCTGAACAGCCGTGATCGATTAAGGCGCGCGTATTTTGAATGCGTTTCATAGTTTGTATTCCAAGTTATTATTTGATTCGGCAGTCGCGCCGGCCGACTAAGACAATAATTCCTCACCGTCCGTGTGAGTCGATATGATACACAGTCGTAGGTAGAGTTGGAGTTAAAAGGTTGGTTTTTTTGTAGGACTAGTGGCTACATGGGGTTGTTTACGAACCAATGGAAAATCAAAGTCTAAGAAGAGTTGAACACACTTAAATCGTATAAAAATAAAGCAGATTAGTTCGTCAATATGTTCATCTCAGATTCTGGAAGATTTTAAAACCATCTTTTGAGATCTGTTAAAGTGTTAGGTTCATAGAAGCGGATAAAACTGCGTGAAAAACTTTTAAAGATAAACCAGTTTGCTGTACATGTTACTGAACTGCTCAGAGAAAAATGATCACCATTTACAAAAATCAATTGAACGAAAAACAGATAGACTTGAGTATAAATCTTAAACGTTAATCGTCACGAAACAAGATTCGTTCAATAAAGAATCAGCGCTAAATTAATGTTAACGGAGCTCAACGCCACAACTTCATCAACAAAACTCAAATCGACTAGCGTAATATTCCAAACGTTAAGTACACAGGGTAACATTCAAAAATCAATATCCATGCGGTTAAGAGTCATCATCGCAGAATTTAATTAATAGCAAAATAAAGCTCATATACTTTGTGTCATACACTAGGTAGGTACACAATAAATCTCTGTGAATATCTAAATGAGTTCCTTAGTTCACGCTACGTCGATTTGATAATATATATGAGAAAATAAGTCGACTAAATAAACACACAATGCATTAAACAGTGATATCCCCATCTATTGTTAAAACACGTGACCGACATCGTGAGTGTTGGAAATTAAAACAATCAAATCGTGTTGGTCTACACCACACCATAATAATACAATCACGCGTCTTAGCAATAGTTGGGAACAACACGACAATCGCTCCAATTTCATCAGTCGGTTGGTTGGTTGGTAGGTATGGCACACTATTATTATAGATCTGAAATAGGGGGTAAGTGAGACATTTTGTAATTGATTTAATGACCTATTATCTAGGGAAAGTTATAATTAAAGGTGTTTTGATCAGCATAAAATCAATCGAGCATGAGATTTCAATATTTTAGTACTAGCGAGAGACACTCTGCGTTGTTATTTGAACGGAATCCAACAATTACTTTTCGAGACCGTCATTAAATGGAAGGTCAGCTTAATATACTGCGCCATGATTTTATTATATTGTAAGTTATTGTCATTCGTTATTTTATGATCAGTTCGAGGGCCAACACCAAATCAAATCCCAACCAAAATTATCCTATTTTGAGTATTTATTCAAACGAATTTGCAAGTTCTGCAGTAAATTATTATCAAAGGGACGAAGGTGGCTGACTATAAAGAAAAAGTTTTATAAAAATGTAAAATACTGACCTAATCCTAAGATGCTTGAACTTTAACATGATTAAAGGGGAAAAGTCCAGTTCTCCCCTCGCATTCCCCTTCCCATAAACCATCTTCGTTCTGTTTTGTAACCCTTATTATATCACCAGCCTGAAATTAAGTCACATCATTTTGTTTTTATTAACAAATACATTTAAAAAAAATATTGTATCAGGAAAACGTTAAATTAAAAATATGCACTATAGTAGGATAGGTAACATGGGATAATCACTATTGAAAACTTACAATAGAAATCACGGCCAGCTTGATGATTTTAAATCGAATAAGAACTTGTACAATCTTAGTAGGTAACTAGCTTTGTGACTGGGTACTGGGTAAACAAGTTTAAAACTCGAACATTGTACGGCTTATAATGTTCATCTCATCAATATTCAAGACTCTGTTCATTAAATCTAACATGAATATACAAAAGTACCTTGAAAGCTAGGAATTTCTGATCGTATGCACTAGGGTTCCTGTCCATAATTGCAACAGCTGTTACCGGTGAGCCACTCTGAAGTCATGACAAATATCAGGAATAAAGTTACATTTCCAACAAGTTAACCTTATAATATGGGTTGTAATTAAAGAATCTAACAAGTGTAAAATAGACGAAGTAACCTTAACCTACAGTCTGCCATTTAACAGATGAACAATGGGAAACAATAAGAAACAATAAGAAACACAATCCAGACAGGGCTTTACGACAGAACAATTGACACAATAACCAATACAACATCACCATTGTAACTTAATAACCAATACAACATCAGCATTGTAACTTAATAACCAATACAACATCACCATTGTAACTTAATAAACCGCTGGAGCAAACGCCTTACGGGTATAAACGCTCTTAACAAAGCACTGCAATCGTAACAAAGCACTAAAATCTTAGCCAATTCAGTCTACGGCCTCTGTCATTTGTCACATACGAATATCGTTAATAAAATATCAAAGAGACAAAAAAACAACCACTACAATAATTAAGGGGACAGAAAAACTCGTTAACAGGTTCCAGAACTTCTAAAAGGATAGGATCAACATTTCAATTAAATAATACTAACTGCGTTGCTGGAGGTACGGGGCATGCTGTTAAGAGGGGGAGGAGGAGGTTGGAGGGGCGCGGACAGAGGAACTGCTGCCGGCTGGGGAGGCGGTACTGGCACTGCCGATTCTGCTACCGGCGTGGATACTGGTGGCGGTACTGTGCTCTCGACCTGTGGTGAATGTGTGGTCAGGACTAGCCCGGTTCATAAAACAAAAATATTATCAAATTAAAATGACTAGCAGGACTTTTGGGTTTCGACTTTAGTATTTTAAATATTTGGCCCGCTGTTGTAGTGCTGTAGTTAATAGGGAGTTTTTGAAACAGAGAGCAATTCGTCACCTTTCCTGATAGAAATTTACGAAAACTAACATTAGAAGTGAAGTAAACCCCCCGATTAAACATCTGCTGGCATACTATGTGGGTTGGGTAAAATCTTATGATCTTAATATTTGCAACAATACTGGTCACAACACTACTAAAACTATACCCTAGTTTACTATACCCTAGTACCTACTACACTTCACATTACCTTTGATTCCGATTTCTTATCTTCGGAAGAACCGAAACAACCAAACATTCCTTGGTTCGAACTTCACAAAAACTGTTTTATACAAGCTCAGTCGCGTAATTGAATAACTACAACTCTAGCTCTGGTCACATTTATGCCAAACATTGTACCTCCATTTTTCTCAAAATCGAGATTTCTGCATATCAAGAATCTACGTTTAATTCCACACATTGTAAGTACAGTTTCAAAACAAAATCCAGCAAATTTTTAGGCCAAACATTGTTTGTACAAAATGGATGATACAATGTTTGGTAAAATCAACTCATCTATGTCAAAAAAAATTAATAAATGTGTCACATGGTCTATGAAGTGGACATTAATATATCATCTAGAGGCAAACATATCTGATTCTGAAATCTTTTTCAAAATATAAATCACTCATGATCATTCCTTTCTCGGACGTGCCATGTTCGTTTGAATTGTTTACGGTAAAGTATAAGCCCATCATACACCAAACATTGTAAGTTCATTTTCGGACATACCATGTTTGGTTCACATCAAGTTAACATGTGACATGCAATCAAAATGATATGTTTTGCTGTCATAGACAGAACGACTGGAAAACAGAAAATATCCACAAATTCACTAAATAAGACACGTACAAAAAATATCAACTTTGTATTGAAAACTGTATATACATGAGATTATCTCAAAACTCTATTTTTGGACACAATGTGACCTGTGGTTTTAGTGAAGATTTTTTGGGTTTCGACTTTAGTATTTTAAATATTTGGCCCGCTGTTGTAGTGCTGTAGTTAATAGGGAGTTTTTGAAACAGAGAGCAATTCGTCACCTTTCCTGATAGAAATTTACGAAAACTAACATTAGAAGTGAAGTAAACCCCCCGATTAAACATCTGCTGGCATACTATGTGGGTTGGGTAAAATCTTATGATCTTAATATTTGCAACAATACTGGTCACAACACTACTAAAACTATACCCTAGTTTACTATACACTAGCACTTACTACACTTCACATTACCTTTAATTCTGATTTCTTATCTTCGGAAGAACCGAAACAACCAAACATTCCTTGGTGCGATCTTCACACAAACTGTTTTATACAAAGCTCAGTCACGTAACTGAATAACCACAAGTAACCAACTATCAATTCAAAACAATCTCACTATTTCACGATATCACTGATAAAAACAAAAGTTGACGTAAGAAACTAAAACTCAGGACGAAGTATAACCCGGACACGATACTGAAAGGAACACACTGACCACCACTACTTGGTATACCATGCACACACTCACACACACAATACTGATAAGGAACACACTTGTAAACCTTCCCGCACTACAGCTATAGGATTAATACTATGTCTCCCTCCGTCATCATGTCACGTGTTATGGGTCCTGTCATGTGGTTTCCTCAGACTTTGTGAAACCCTACCCGCCTCTCTTATATTTAATATTCCCGTAATTCAGCCATTTTTAAGTAATCCCGTTTTCCTTCAGTTTTATCTTAGTTTAGTGGATATATCTTAGTTTACTGATCTTTTTAATGTTTAGACTTTGGAGGACCCTCAATATACTTTGAAATAACCTTTTATCTTAGAGAAGAAGCTTGTCGACGGTGCTTTTTACCCGCTTTATACTACAGAACAGTCTGAGAGTCTGTATTATTATTAACTTATCTCCCTTTCTGCAGTATAATACTGTGCAGGAAATAGTGATGCCTATATTCTGAGAATATTTATTCTCTCGACTCAATTTCAATCTTCAAGTTCTAATGACCCCTCTGATGCAGAAGGACATATATCTTCTGTATGAACTACACAGTACAGTGTATAGGGAACTAGATGTTGCCCTGTTAGTACATTACAGATCACCCCAAATATCACGTGTGTCTGTAACAGGTACGGTTGGCTGGCTCTTCAGTGATTACCTAGTGACCCTATTACACAGCTACTATTGCAAGAGTTTCCGGCTTTGTGCTACTTACTAGCATTAGTACATGATGTTACTTATAGTACGCACATTGCATGTAGTAGTGATGTGAGAAGGGGTATGAGAGCCGAGAGGGGGTATGAGAGGGGGTATGAGAGGGGGTATAAGAGGGGGTATGAGAGGGGGTATGAGAGCCGAGAGGGGGTATGAGAGGGGGTATGAAAGGGGTATGAGAGGGGGTACGAGAGGGGGTATGAGAGCTGAGAGGGGGTATGAGAGGGGGTATGAGAGGGGGTATGAGAGCCGAGAGGGGGTATGAGAGCCGAGAGGGGGTATGAGAGGGGGTATGAGAGGGGGTATGAGAGGGGGTATGAGAGGGGGTATGAGAGGGGGTATGAGAGGGGGTATGAGTGGGGGGAATGAGAGCCGAGAGGGGGTATGAGAGGGGGTATGAGAGGGGGTATGAGAATTGAGAGGGGGTATGAGAGGGGGTATGAGAGGGAGTATGAGAGGGGTATGAGAGTGGGTATGAGAGGGGGATGTTGATGTCACTGTGGGTATCATAATCTCTGTAATAATATCATCTGAATTTCAGCCGAATTTACAAAATCTCTCCAAATTCCTACTGCAACATTCCACACATTTTTCTTGAAGAACATTGCTTACAGTTTTAAACAAGAGGGGTATGAGAGAAGGTATATAAATATCTCCAGTGTGGTATCCATGGGGTCCCCGACTAAGATAAGTGTATCTCATATCCTACACGTTTACTTCTCAACCTATCAACAGGTCACTACACACTCTCTCATTATACACTGGCATTACACTCAACCAATCAGCACAGTGTTTACAATCTCACTAACTTTATACTTATCAGCATACATTCCACTACTAATTATAGTTCTGCTGATAACATGAACAGTTGTGGTGTGATTGTTCACGTGACTGATTATACTATTGATCCCGGTTGTAGAGAGAGTGTAATAAAATATGGAAGAAACCAGACAAGTTGGACATTTCAAGCCGTAGCTATATCATTCTTAGGAGGCCGAATATATATATATAATAGTGGCTTCGAATCTGGAGTATAAGTGTTATGTTTACATGGGTTGAAATGCCCAGGGATACCCTAGTTCCAGTGCAGATCGCCGTTTACAACCCGTTTAATATCTGACATATGGACAACGCGATCTTGTTAAAATTAGTGAACTTTAAGAATCAAAGGTTCCCGAAATTAAGTTTAACCTGTAGAATTACAAGTTTTAGACCCCGTACAAAGGCGTACAGCTCGCACAAAAGGCTGCCAATTGTAATAGAGTGTGGCTACCGGTTAAATTATTAGCCGAAACACTTAATGCTGCAATACTAACTAAAACTTGTCTTCTATCCGGTACTACCATGATGTAACACGTTTTGCAAACATTGCTACTGGAATGCTACTAACTTCATTCTGGAATGCTACTGGTCAACTTTACTTACCGTAACATATGGTGCTGGAATACTGCCAGTTTTTCCTTCTTGATTAAGGGCTTCCCACCACTGCTCCTCTGGTTTCTCTATCACGTACAAAAGTTCACCCTTTCTAAAAGGTAAATCTTCTTCATCCTGCAAACAAACTAATTGTTATTTCTCTCTTCTAGAGCAGACAACATTCTGTTTTAACTATATTAAATATAAAGTGATGAGGGCATTAAATTTCTAGTGTAGGGATTACATATATTATAAGGATTCATTATGTATGTTGAGTAAATGGTTTCTCTTAAATATCCCATTTGCCACAACTTAGAAGTGCATTATTATATAAAAGTGAAGAATTAGTGTTTGAGGAAAACTAAATTGGCAGTAAACACACCGTTACATGAGTTAATACATTGCTTTAATTAAACACTAAATTACCGGAAATTTTAAATTAAATATGTTAAATTAAATATGTAAAAGTACATAAAACTCATCAACTAATTATAAAGTTGCAAATGAAAACCGAGAAACGGAAAGTTCTAGACTCACCCTTCCGGGAAAATCGTATTTGCCCCTGACTTTCTCAATAACAACAATCCTCTTGAGAGTGGTGGTATCCAAAAGGCTGTCGGTGTAGAACTTAATTACTTTCTGTAGACTGTCAAAGATGTTTTCACCAATCTTGTAACAGCCATTCGGCTTCGAGTTTATAATGTAGTTGCTGACTTTGTTGTTTTCACTGGGAGGTAAATATTTGTGTAAATTATTGCCAGGCCTGTTGAGTGACTTATAGTATGGGATGTAAATTGTAAAGTATGTAGCGTACGTCTGTGTGTGTGTGTGGGTACTTGACAGTGGCTCACAAATTGGCACACAGCAAATTAAATATACCTCCCCAACTACAGTTTACGGAATTGTCACATTTAACCCAAGCCCTTTTTACCATTTTTAGACCCCTCTAATGAAAACATATGGCCTCCAGAAGCACAAAGCTTTTTTTAAAAACAAAGCTTTTGTATTGAGGTGATAACGTAATAAAGTAATATAAGGTGCGAACTTTGAACGCTTCCTAAAATAAGAGTGTACAATTTAGGAATAAGAAATAGAGTTCTTACTACTCAAATGTTAAGTACTATGCTATTGTTCATAACGTGGGACCTGCTCAAATTACATTCCCATGGACTGTGGGATATTTTCAAGCAGGTTTACAGAAAGAGATAACATCTTTGAAACACTCAATACAATGTGCGTGGTCCAAAACATAACACTTGACAATTGCTCACGATCCGACTCTTGCATGATTTGTTACTGCATGTAACTTGCCAAGAAGTAGACCCTGAACAATGACCCTGTTATTAGCCCTTATATTTATACACATACTTCACACTGTACCAACGAATTCGATACGTTATAACGTATATAAATATGTTACGAAGAGGGACATAGATTGATAGTATGTGAAACACGACACGCATGGAATTTCTCGAATGTTTGTAAATAAAAATGTGAAAATGTACAACTAAGTCATGTGAAGAGGGAATTCTTATCTCACATTTAGACTATGCAGTAATCAACATGTACCAGGGCCGCTCAAATTTCACTTTGATTATAGATTATAGGTAAGCGGAGTAAGCGACTTGAGAAGTTTTGAAGAGTGCAAACTTGCGTTATATCAAATCGAAATTCGGATGGACAAATATTTTTGCAAATCTATATAAACTTTTGTTTGTATTTCAAACGCAATGACAAATATAAGAATTCACAGCAATTTGTAAAGTTTCAATAATAAAATCTGTCCCAACAAACAAACAAACAAAGAAACAAACAAAGAAACAAAGAAACAAACAAACAAACAAACAAACAAACAAACAAACAAACAAACAAACAAAGAAACAAACAAACAAACAAACAAACAAACAAACAAACAAACAAACAAACAAACAAACAAACAAATTAACTAACCTGACACACAACACGTAGTCTCCCTGGCATGTTGAAGAGTCCCTGACAAGGTATAATCCTGACTCTTTGTCCAGCAATAACTGGTTTGTAACCGCTCTGGTGATCTTACCTACATACCACCTGTGAAAGTGATTTGTTACTTCAAACACAAGGATTTATTTTATAGCACGAAACCAGAAAATTAGTGAGGACCATTTTTTTGTTTCAGTTATTTTTCTCTCTAAGAAAAGACAGTGATCGAGATACGGAAATCTGGGCGAAATATTGAAACAATTGTGATCAATTGTAGAATTATTAAAACAATTGTAGACTACTTGACTACTGCTAAAGAGGCCAATAACGAGTAAGCTTATATATAATCAAACAAGCTGGAGAATGTGATTCACCTCCTCTACAGTAGTCAATTTAAAGTCACTTAAATCAATAAATTGGGGCCCTATTTTTATCTGACGGAGTTAAAACCATTGCCTTCTCAATCTTGAATCTATTAGAGTTATGAAACTCATGTGATATGGCGATTTTATTCAGAATTGATCTAGGTGCTAAAACGAAGTCTCTCTGAGAAATTTTCTTTTTCACTGTATTACATTAAGATTCTGTTTTCAGCAGTAACTGAATTAATTAACGACAAATCAGTAGTGCTTTGCACCTGAAGTAGGACTGAAGCTAATTACAAGCAATATGTTTCGTCTGGAAATCTCCCTGGGAATTTGGAAGATATACATTATGATCCTCTAATGTAACATAAATATTTAACAGACTTGAATATTGGCGGGAATTAGGGTAAAAAGCATTTTTTGTCCGACATAGTGCAGCTCGTACGTCTTAACATACTTACTTGCAGAAATGTAAGATTAGTTTGCTTTTTGAAGTCCAAAGCCTCTGGCTTTATCTAACAAAAGTGTTTCTCTAATCGTGAAGTGGAATTACTTGTAAACTATCAAATATGTGAACTATTATCACGTAACAAAGCTTTTCCTCCCAGCCCATAGCCATCAGTCAAGAAACTTAAAAATAAAAGATAACGTTAGTTTTTACTTACAATTCGCGAGAATAGTCCTGAGACATAGTGTCCCCTTCTTTATCATTATAATCTCATCTCTCTTTTACAATTCTAAGATACATTATTTCGGTTTAATTTGATCTTGATAAGCATTTTAATAAAATCATGCATAAGTATACTGTATCAGTTACAGTAAATCGATAGAATTATCTAGAATATATGTATGATCATGTAAAATATTAAATAATGATACATTTCTTTTTGAAGTTTTTATCGGATTTGTTTTAATGGTTTTGAAAGCAGTGAAGATAAAGAGGTTTGGTTAATCATTCAAAGTTAAAGTTAGCCGAATTTTACAATAATCAGGAAATTTATTATACAATTTAATTACATTCAAGTAAAACAAGCAACATTAAACAAAATATAAATCGTTCCCTTAATCCTCAAAAAAAATCTACGAAATAACCGGGCTGAAACTAAAAATCTAAGAATAGCTCAAAAACAGTATGATATGCGCGATCACAAACCTCATATCAAATTGTAAGCATTAACTATAGACGGAGCATTACCTAAAGGTATTAACATATTCCATCATCGATGAATGAAACTCTACCCTCGTGGCAACACTCATGGTACTCATACAATATTATTAGTCTCAGTATTAATGAGACTATGTATTATATAATAATGCCACAAAATCTTTTGTTGAGTAAAGTTTAAAATAGCATATATTTATTAATGAGATAAGTGGAGTTTGCACATCACTCACCTGTATCGTATGTTTTACAAATACATAATCACCGACTCAACAGCACTGTTCATTCAACTCAAATACAGCACGTGCGTGACTAAAACACAGCACGTGCGTGACTAAGAACTAGCACATGCGCTCGTGACCGGTCATTGCTTCACCTGAGCACTATAACTCGGTAGCTTACTCTGAATGTTACTCTTCCTGTAATCCGCGCGTAACTTTACAAACTGCACGAGGAAGCCGTGCTCAATGCGCGCCAAACTTCCCTCGTCCCAGATATCACGCAGCTTGTGGGGCTCTACAATCAGCAGCTGGGTAAGCTTGCTCAGACCTTCAAATAGCTCCTCTACAAACGGCTCCTGTAAATAACCTTGTTAAAACCCTTCGTCTGTTGATTTGATTAATTAGACTGTATTAATCGATAGACTAATAACAATAACGTCCGAGGAATTCCACAGTTGGAGGGAGATTGGGTTATTTTATCGAATCATTCAATTTAACCATTTTATATCCCATTCATTTCAACCAGTGACGTAATCAGTAATGTTGCCTGTTGCCTAAAATTGGACAAATTATATGATTTTAGAGAACACGCCATCAAAATCTCTAAAAAAGTGTGTTTCTAGAGCAAAACGCGCAGTTTTGCTAGTACCGTAGTGAAGTTTTTCCAAATTGTCCCTCATTCAAACGACGATTTGGCACTTCCCTAAGATGGCGCCCTCGGCCCCCTCTTCCCCCCCCCCTCGGCGGGGCCCTTCGTTACGCCACTGATTTCAACTACAGTGAAGCCTGTCTCTACCGGGCCTCTCGAGGGAAATGATAAATGCACGGTATAGAAAAGGCATGGTATAGCAAGGTTATCCAGTATAGCAAGGTTATCCAGTATTATACCCTCTCAAATAACCTGTCAGTGCACGCATCGTGATATGCTACAGCTCGATATAATGTACTCAATTGACCACCAAGTGCCTCAACATGCTACACAGGTTACGGACAGCTGAGTGGAGATAACTCACCTTGAAGTGGTGAACAGTCTGCTTGTAGCGGTGTAGATCCTGTATGAGCTGCAGGGCTCCCACTATACTGTACTGGTACTGTAGCAGGTGATCAAGCAGAGCTCCGTGGAACCTGTAGAGTGTAGTTGTTATAAACTAAATTATATTATAGAACTTGTACATTACAGTTGATACACACCAAATTGTACAAGAATCATACATGTTAAACATAACCATACGGCATACATATTACATTTGTCATAATATAATATACACATGTAATCAAACACATATTATAGTATGTGACGCGATAAACATATTCAATTTTACATACATATGATACTATGCCGAGTGTATATAATAGTAATACACACAGCACAGAGTAAACAAATATTCTTTTATTCACACTATTTGCAGAGTGCACGTTATTTGAAGTCCAATACTGCATGGAGAATAATAATACAACATTATACAGGGTGGTCCAAAAGTCCGGCTAAGATTTACTTTTTAATAATTCTAAAATGGTGAAAGATATTTCACTTCCCTAAAAAACCTAGAAATTATTGATGTTGAATTCCGAGTTTTGAAGGTCGCCATGACCACCAAACCAAACACAATGCAATAATTTCGAACCTTCTAAAAAACACCTTCCAGAACGTGTGGTAACGAGTTCCCATCCTCGCCACTAAACACATACTAATTGCAATTAGAACTGCCACTTTTACCTCACCACCTGGTTACTCCTGACCCAATAAATAGTGACCTCGTTTATCTTCACGAAACATTGGTATTTTATATTATGATGGTACTCGTTCAAATCAGTTAAAATGTACCGGAAAATCAGTTATTAGTGGGCACTCTTTTATCTGGTCACGTCAGCCCACAAAGTACAAACACGAACACAAAGACTAGACACTAAGCGTGTTCGTGGTTGACAATGTAAATCAGTCTGGAGGTAACACAACAACACATACTAATTAGGTGTACTACACGAGACAAGGTACAGTCAAGAGACAATTAGCCACCAACTAACACTACAACAAGTATTACAACACTGCAAATATTTGCGTGTTTCACTGTCGTCTAACCATGTACCAACTATTATTAACCAAGTTGAGTGATTGAGCGATTGTTTGTTAGCCGCATAGAATATATGCTCAAATGTTTTAAGAGCAGATTGTATTGTATTGTACATAATTATAGAATCTCTAATTATAGATGCGTGGAGTACGTGCACGTGGTTCCTGACTTCCTGCACCTTTTCCACCTCAACATGGAGAAAAAACCTTCCTTCGTAACATTCATTCCTCTAAATTGAAAAACGACAGTTAAGCTGCCAAAATAAATATATAACATTCAACATACATTTGGACACGAGTCTTGAAACACCCTGTAACTATTAACTGCCACTAAAGTTACAACGTACCTGACACCTAGTTCCATCATGACATGCTGCAGGTTATCTCCGTCTACTGGTCCCTTGAAGGTGTCAATAACAGAAGAGGTGAGGAAGTTACACACTTCGTTACACGCCCGAGTGGAGCTCTGAGCTACACACAGAGAGTTGAAATCTTCCTGTGGGTGGAGTGAGAGTCAGCTGTGGTTAGAGAGTCAGTGAACTGGAGAGAAGCTGACTTTTTAAAACTTCTGCCTTTTTCCTTTCATGCATGTTCATTATTCAAGGCACAACTATGGGAACTATTATTATATGTGAAGCGTAAAGACTAAAGTGAAATTCATGAGAATTGTGTACCTTTTCCTGTTTAGACTTGAAGATAACTTTGATCCAGTTAATGATGATGTTAATCGAGTGGTTGATCTCGTTGGACACTTTCTCTTCTATTCTCTTCATCTCTGTTTGACGGATCTTTCTTACTTCGGTTTGAACCTGGACATCATCATGTTATACACACATTAATAGTGAACAAAACAGGTAAAATTATTGTATGATGTTGATGGCTTGAGGGATTCAAAAGGTGAAAATATTTCCCAACAAAAACTTACCTTGGGGTTTTGAATGTTGGGCAGGATGGTATCATTGAAGAATTTATCAAGGCTGTGGTATGTGATATTTGCATTTCCCACAATCGTTAGGAATGGACTGATGATTGGCTCATTCCGAGAATCAAGAGATGGCCTGCAAATTGTTGATGTGAGATTAAACTTACACCTGTTGTAATAGTGCCTTGAAATGAACTGCAGCATTTAAAATTTTACAGTATTCAAAAAGTTGAAGTTCATTAATTCTGAATTTGTGTGTTGAATGAAAACCAACCTATTTGCTGTGTAGAAATCTATGGCATATTCTAAATGATTTGCAACAAAGTGTGTTAACAATGAAGTTGCAATTTCCTTAAGAACATCTGAGCACGCTGTTTGGTCACTCAATAGCAGACATCTTTCAACTGCCTGTAAGAATAAATTGTATAATTATTGTATAATGTATTCTTCTACATTATACATGAGCATGGAACAACTATACAAACTATACAAACTATGTAAAGAAGATATATGATACATTGACGTTTATTATTTAAAATATGTACACATCACGTTTATAAATATGACAATTGGTTGACATATAATTTACCCGTTCATGAATTTTCAGAAGAGAGGTTGTTACATTGACGCTGAGAAGTTGGTCAGATGGCATTTCACTTGGCTCGTTGCTGAGCAGGTTGTTGCTACTTCCAATATTGTCTCGCAATTGATTAAACCGACTTTTAGCATTCTTGAGATGAACTTGAAGGGCATCAGAATGCAAATTCTTCTCATGCTTGATTGAATTATAGAACTGATTTAGGATTTCCTCTGATGCTTTGAGTAGATATTCTTTTTCAGTGTCACTGTATTTAGAAAGATATGAACAAAATATTGACTTCTTTATGTCATTAGCAAATGAAATGTCGTTATCATATTTTGAAAGATTTGATGAGAGCTCCATTGTCTGTGAATATAACTCTGCTAACGAGTCTAAAGACTGCTCAAGATCTTGAGATGATTGTTTTTCAGGTTCATCAAATGTATCCAGTTTAAGTGTAAGTCTCACTTTCTTCCAAATCTTGTCTTTGAATATTTTTTTGATAAACTTTGGCATGATAGTGTCATGATCTGAAAAAACTTTTGAAACTATCCCTGAAGTTTCATTGATACAATCTTTTATAGCTGAAAAAATGTTCTCACCGTAGAAAGGTGCCTTCAGCCTTGCATCAATAAAGTAATCAACAACCTCTTTATAAGCTTGAAAACATGGTTGATTCAAAGTAGCAGCACATCTCTTCATATTCTCTAAATGTTCTTCATCAGTGTAATGATGTAAAGACATTTTGAAATCTTGAACTAACTGTTTTTCAATCTCATCA